CCCGGCCTGGGACACCACGCCAAGCCTGCGGGACACGGAAGGGGCTGACATGACATGAAGGTGGATTTTGGCTGAACCTCAGCAAAAGCTTCCTAGGGATCGGGGCCGTCTCACGATGGATGGGGCTGCCTCTGGAAGCTGAGCTCTCCCTTGCTGGAGATCCTCAGCCAGGTCCCAGGCGGCCGTCCGCAGGGGATGCTAGACACGGAATTCCTCCGCTGAGCATGTGGCTCTTCCACATTTCAGCTCCTAGGATGTGAGCTCGGACGGTCTCTCCCATCAGCCAGAGGAAGATGCTCGCGTGGAGCAGCGGTCTTCTGGGATTCGTCCGGCAGTGCGTGAAGGGAGGGCTGAAGCGCCGTCATCCCGAGGCCGGACTTCCAAAGCAGCCCCTTCGCTTCTGTTGTCAGCAGCTGCCTTTTCGGACTCCAGGTCCCTGCTTCTGCTCTGCACCTCCCCGGCTGGAGCACGGCGGCTGCCACCCCACGGAGACCTCGGGAGAGGAGGACGCAGGCCCCGCGCAGGGGCCGCACACGAAGGGAGCGCAGTGCGCGAGCGCATGGGGGGGCTCCAGATGGGGAGATGCGCCGGCGGAGGAGCCTCTGCATGGGAATGGCGGGAGCAGGGTCTACGGCAGCTCCCGGAACAGGCGCGGAGCCGGCGCCGCCTCTAGCCACGTGCCGGCACCACGGCCGGCCTGCCTGTCCTGCAGCCCCCACGGGGTCAGCCCACTGCCTGTAGGCGAGGCCAAGCAGGGCCTCCAAGACCCGAGAGCAGCAGTGGCCACGAGGCAGCACAGACCAGGTGGCCACGTGTGACTCACACCGGAGGGGAAATCACGCCCCCAAGGTACCCACAAGGCCAGCGGGGCAGCACTGCTGTGGTGATGTGGTCGCCGGGCAGCCCCCTCCCATCGCATCGCATTGCATCGCCGCGGTGGGGACTGGCCGCTGCCCGGGGCCAGTTTCCCTTTCGTGTCCGTTTGAGCCGTCCTGCGACAGCAAGGGCTGCGAGATGCCGTCCGTTCCGGCGTTTGGCCTCCCCGCCTGCCGTCAGCTCTGCCCGGGCCGCAGAGCGTGGCACTCCAGGAACTTCTGTGGAAGAGCATTTGGCCCCCCGGTTGAAAGCGCTTTGCCCGCCCCGACTGTCTTCGTTTGTTCACTGTATTTTCCCTACCCTTCTCCCATTGTCCCGTAAAATAGAAGTGTTACAATAATAATAATAATAATAATAATAATAATAATAATAATAATAATAACAACAACAACAACAACAACAATAATAAAATCCCACTGGATTTTATTGGTACTATTTGTGTTGTGTTTATCTATCTGGGGTAAGCCATCCCGAGGCTAGCGATGGGACGGCATACAAAAATTCTACATGCACAAATTGTGGGTTGCCAGGTGGCTCCAGGCGGCCGCCCTCCACGCTCGGGCCAGCCCCGGGCCTGCCTGGCTTGGACTCCGAGCGAGCCCCGGGTCTTCCTTCACGGGAATGCAGAACGCACGCAAGTTAACCGCGGAGCTGTATTTTTTTCTTTTGAAAGGCCGGGTGGGTGAGATCCTCGTACTCCAGGGGCACCACCCAGGCGGTTATTCCCCCAAGGCTCCCCTCCTCTGATCGTGTGTCGGGGAAACCATTTGCTTCTCTTCTGGCTTTGGAAGCGAGCGGGACTTTCCGAGGCACGCGTGGCTTGAGACACCAGAGTTTCGGAGCCGCCGGCTCACAAGGGTGGCCACTGTGCGTAGACCCCGGAGAGGCTGAGGGGAGCAGGGAGGCCAGCTCTGCTCCCGGGCTCTCCCTCGCCGGGCTTCCCACATCTGCGTGGCCTTAACTCCATCAGGCCTGGGGAGCAGCCCTCGGCGCCCTGGGAGCAGAGGAGGCGCCTGGGCGGGAAGGGGCAGACGCATGGAGCTGCCGGCCCTGCCTGGCGGAGTGCGCAGGGAGCATCGCAGAGCAGGGTGCGGCGGGGCGGACACGGGGTCCTGAGAACCAGAAAACGGCGGTCCCACGGGGAACGGGCGAAGGAGCAAGGGCGCAGGTCCTGAGCTGGAGGGGCAGGCTGGCTTCGGTGGGGGGGAGCCAGCAGCTGGTGGGACTTGTGCCGGTGGAAGATGGGCCGGGACGCAGCTGTTTTCCGTCTCCCCTTCGCAGCCTGTCTCCTCCCCTCCCCGTCCACGTCCACACCCATCGGTTTCGCTCTTATTCCGTGTTCTCTGCCCTTCCGTCCATCTGGAATATCTGATGCGCACAGCAAAGCCCTTTCTGGCGGGAGCCTCCCTTATTTGGGAGGAAAATCTGACCTGTTTTCCTCAGAGGACTTTCTCCCGCCCTGCACTTCTGATTTTGAGAGGCATTTTTAAAAGAAGGGAGGAGCACAGGGTGGGGGGGAGGCCAGCTTTAAACCTGACGCAGCCGATTGGAATTCCTGTTTGTTTCCCTGGAATGCAGAGGGATAAACAGGAGGGACCGCTTAGCGACAGGCCCTGGGGGGAGTCTTTGGGAAACAGGCGCGAGCCAAGGCCCTGTGGGGCGGTGCACAGAAAAGCAGCGTGGTGCCGCAGGCGGCTTCATGGGGCAGCCCAAAAGGACGGAGCTCCGGCTCTGGGAGACCGCCGGATGCCCTCCGCCGCAGCCAGTCCTCCGGGATTCGCTGGCTCCAGGCGCAGAAGTGCTTCCTTCCCCCGAAATCCACAGGCGGAGAGCGGGAGAGCGAGCGACTGCCCCGAGTCACCCTGCAGGCTCCGCGGCCGAGCGCGGGACGTGACCCCGGTCTTGCAGGTCCCGTCCGTGGCGTCCCTCCCGTTCCAGAACGCGCCGACCTCACGGCGACGGGGAGCCGCTCACAAAGGGGGCATTCCGCCCCTTCGTTCCACTTGGTGTTCAACCGCCAAGCCAGGCAGGGTCGGCCATGCTGAAGGAGCGGGCCGGGGGGCACCGGGAAGATGAGACGGATGAGGGGAGCTCAGGTGAGGCAGTCCCCTAGCAGCAGGGCCCTCTGCACACGGTCAGAAGCATCTCTGCTCTCAAGGATCGCCGTTCTTTGTGGCCAGGCTATGCTCTGAGCGGCAGACCGAGGCTGACTGCCTGTCCGGCGGCTTTGCTCGGTCCTGGCCTCAGCCCTGTCGGCGCCCAGCCTTCCTTCTGGGCATCCTCAAGTCCCCGGGGGCTGCCAAGGCATGTTGCTGGCGGGGCTTTTGCAGGGAATGGAGAGCCAGGCAGATGCGCTGGCCCGGCAGGAGGAGGCGCAAGCGGGGCCTGGAGCAAATCGAGCCACGCTTGCCGCGGGAGTGAAAGCGGCGAGGCTGCGGGTGCCGTGCGCTGGCCACGGCGTGGGCAGGCAGGACTCCCTGGACGAGCGTGCCAGGGACCTCGAGGTGGGAGAGGAGGAGGAGGAGGAGTGAACGGGAGCTGGGGACCCCGCCAAGGGAGCCGCAGCCTGGCGTCCGCACGAGCTGAGCAGGGCTGTCCTGGGACGGGATTTGGGAGGCGCTCACTCAGCTGGAGAGGAAACATAGAAACAGAGCGAGGCAGAGGGGCCTCCCGGGCCATCTAGTCTGACCCCCGGCTCCAGCCAGCTCCGCTCACGACATGCCCACCACGTGCACGTCCAGCCTGTCCTTGAATCCCCGCACCGGTGGGGCCCCAACCACCTCCTGTGGAAGCCCATTGCACACCCTCGGGGTCCGAACGGTCAGGACGGACTTCTTGGAGCAGAGCAAGAAAGTCCCGTGGGGTGTTTGCATATTTGGAAGGAGAAACAGAAAGCAGGAGGAAGCGCTGGGGCAGTTTGGGGAAGAAGGTGCCGGGAAGAAATGGGTGGCTGACGGAAGAGAACGGAGATCGCCTGGGTGACTGCAGCAAACCGCAGCGGGGGCTTTGCTCTGCTGCGGCAGGATTGGGGGGGGGCATGGGGCATTCAGACCCTGCAGGGGGGCAGATCCTCGGAGAGTGCAGACAGGCCACCCCCTGGCCGCCTCGGGGGTGTTGAAGCATCAGATTTTGGCCGACCGTGATGCTGGCCCAGCAGAATGGCAGCCACAGCACCCTCTGCAGCCGGCCCTGGGATCGCACCGGGGAGGACAAATAGCGCACATGGGGCTGTCACCGTATGCTCAGAAGGCTCACACCCAAGAACATAGGAAGGGTCCCGATTCTGGACCAGATTGGGTCCTCCTCTCGGCCAGCCACCAGCCAGCTGGCCCAAAGGGAAGGTGCAGGCAGGACACAGGTGCATCTGCATCTTTCCACCATGTTCCCCAGCACAGGTCTACCTAAACATCCTCTTCTGATAGCATGAGGACTAGTAACCATGCATAGCCTTCTCCTCCAGGAATTTGTCCAATACCCAGTGCGACGTCTTGTGTGGGTCTTATTTATAGGAGCGAGCCAAAATAGTTGTCCAAATAAATAAATAAAATAGGACTGTTAAGTAGCTTGAGGAAAGCACTCTGGATATGCTCAGAGGCACTCATGGTTTTAATTTCATTCTTTCCTCCAGTCCTCAAGAGCTGATCCTTCAAGTTAAGCCCACGATTTATTTATTGGACTACAAGGCCCAACATCCCCAAACCATGCTGGTTCAAGGATGCTGGACGTTGTAGTCCAACACATATCGCTGACAGCAGATTGGGAAAGGCTGTTCTGACGCAAAGACCATAAAAACCGGACTGGGGGAGCAAAGATATGCTCAGCGCCCCTTCCCGTAGCTGGGACGGTGAAGGCGCGCGAGGTCAAAGTGCCCAAATCCACCGACCCACCGAATAGCTCTCCCTCTGCGGTTTCTCGTCTCTATGTTCATCTCGGGGCCGGCGCGCGGCAGCCCCGGCCTGGCCGCGGCTTCCGT